AATTCCCTTTCCAGAAGGGGAAGTGGAATAAGGCATTTCAGCTTCATTTACACTTAATTCGTCAAAATGTCATTGGTAAGAGCTATTTGATGTCCAAGGCTTATGAGCCTTGAATGTAAGCCTTCCAAAGCCCTTTTCTCTTTAAACCAAAATGTGCCCTTCTGCCAACATGGAGTCAAATGCCAACGGGGTACTTTGTTCTGAATCGTGAAGCTAGATGGGGGCTCCATCTCCTGAATGTGCTTTCCTTTCTCCCAAACAGGACCCCGAGGACATGAAAAGCAGCTGACTGGGGAAAAATAAATACAAGCCTGAGACTTTTCAAACAGCCACCCTCTCCTCTCTCCTGCTCAGACTCAGTCCTGAGTACAAGAGGCTGACCACAGGCCAGTTTATGTGAACCCACTTGTTTTAGCTCCAACCATGCTCCCTTTAAATGGGATTTGCATCAAAACACAGGCTTTGAGGATTTCCATACATATGCAGGAAAGGTGTTTGAATGCTCTTCACAGCTAAGGCACCAAGGGTCCAAGCCCACTGTCTTAGGGAAGCAGGTGACAATAGAGTGAGTCTCCCACCAGCGATAACTCTGTGCCACTATCCTTTACTTCTACCACTCAGACACGCAGGCAGCTGCTATAGTCTTCAGGCTCTCCAAAGACCCAGATTCTGCAGTCAGCCCGAGCCCCTTGTTCAGGGGGTCCTCCTTGACATCCAGCCTCCATGTCGGTTGTTGTAGTTTCAGCTTCATTTGTCCTCGCTCTTCATCCAGGCCGAAATAATGGGCAGCCAAGCACACACATGCCCTACTGTGTGCTGCATGTGCTGCATGAGTGAGGCCTGGAGAAGCCACCCCTGCCTGCAGGACAACCCCCAAAGCCCTGGCACAGAGGTGTTCAGAGTCCTGGACCCCTAGGAAGAAATCTCAGGTTTGTCCCAATGTGATGCAAACAGTGATTTTCACTCTCAGCTGTTGGTAGATGATTTGTTTTATTCTCTGCATCAGAACATACAGAAGAGGAACACCCAGAGACATATGGTGTACCTAAAAGGGCCTAATAATCATTACTTCTGGGCCAAACCAGCTTTTTCTTATCTGTGGGTTTGCTCAGCCATGAGGATTCCAGCAGCCCTCCAGGACGATGGTTCAGTACTGAGTGCATTCTAGTGATCCACAAAGGGCAGCCCCCAGCCTCCTGAAGGCAGGCTCAGCCAGCTCTGAAACTCACTGTCTCCTTGGTGGGGGCTGTGCCATCTCAGTGCTCCATCAGCATGGCTGGCCTAGCCACTGGTCTGCCCTTGCTGACCCTCCATGTTGACTTGCCTCACTCCTCGCACCATGTGCCTCCAGCCTCCAGTCCTGAGGCTTCCTCAGGCTGTTGATGTGAGAATATGCAGGTCTTCTCCTAACCCTGGCTTGCACCAGCTCCCCAGCTGAAGGCAAGGCTGTGTGCAGGTGGGGGTGGAGCTCATGATTTCCTGGATCAGCTCATGGATCTGCCTTGCACTTCAAGACTGTCATTGCTGCCTCTGGATCTAACTTCTTTGAAGACACCAGAAAGTCCTGGTGCATAGCCCAGCAGAGTAGGAGAGGTGATCTCCTATGATATGAACTTGGGCCAAAGAGAGGTGCATGTGTGTCCCTCCCTGCTATGGACTGGGTGAGGCCCCTGCAGATTGAATAGTCAGCTATGCTTGGTATAAAACTATGTACGACCAGCTTGTTAACACGCTCCCTTACGTATGTGCTGTCCTCTTGCCCGTCAATCTCCCCTTCCCCTCACTTCTGCTTCTTTGGAATTTCACTCCTTGTCTTAGAGGATAAGCTTTGGACTTGGCCCCTGATTTTCAGGGACCTTGGTCTAAGACAACTAATCTTTCCTATATGCCAAATATTCTCTGTGTGTGTGTGTGTGTGTGTGTGTGCGCCCGCGCGCGCGCACTTTCAGTCTTTACAAAAACTTCTTTGCAGGTGAATGCTGGGGCAGGTGGCACGGGGGAAAGTATAGAATAGCTTGCCCAAGACATACAGCTAGTTAGCAGGTAATTGAAACATTCGCTCAGGTCTAACATCAAGATGATGCTCTTTCAGATCATAAGGATTGAAGTCAGACCAGGGCTTAAGTGCTGCCTCTGAATTTATTGGCTGGGTGAACTATGCCAGGTTATTTAACCTCTTCTGTTTCTATTTCCTTGTGTATATAAGGGTCAGGTTTAGATGCAATGAGTTCTAAGGTCGCATCCAGTGTGAACATTCAGTAGCCCCGGAGATCTCCTGAGGGACTCTCTGTTGCTACTCTCTGCTGGAATTTTCTAGTCTAGCTTGAGGAGTGGGTCTTAGAGGATGGATAAAGCCTAGAATTACTGTGATTATAGAAGAGCATCCTGCAAAACACACCAAAGCCTCAAACCTGGGGAAGGTGGGGTCATAGCATGGCTCACTCCTGAGCAGGGCCAACCCCAGTGGCATCAGGCTTCTGCCCAAGTAGCTCCTACCAATTCTTCAGAAGGGATCATCTCTCAAGGTCAGCCTTGCCCCTGCCTCTCTAGACTGAACCCCTCCTTCTAGATGCTCCCACAGAACACCTTGCAACATTGCTTCCCTTGCAGTTTTATTACAGGATGAAATTATCTAAAAATGTGATCATTCATCAGCATCTGTCTTGCTTCCTAGTCTGAAAGGTCCACGAGGGCAATGTCCATATTTATTTTGTTCCCATTGTATTTCTAATGTCTACAACAGTGAAAGATCTTCAGTAAATAGCTGTTGAATTAATGGGTTAATTGGTTAATTAATATCATGTCACCAAATCTTGATGAGATCAAAGTACCTTGATGAGAACAAGCCAAGTGTTTTTGCTCTAAAGATGAGCCAGAGTGAATTTTAAGATCCCTGACTGATTGCCCAAGTTGCTCAGTATGTAGCTGCATGTCCTTGAGTCCCCAGCTCCTTTCCCTGTCCTGCCAGTCCACGTCACAGCTCATTAGGGGGCTAATAAGGAGATGGCTGTGCACTGACTCCACCATCCCTGAAGTCACCCTACCAGGCACCAGGCAGCCCAACGAGGCTGAAGAAATGGCTCAAGGTGACCAAGTACACTGTGGGAGGGTAAGGAAAAGGCATTTCAGCCTCTTGTGGATTAACTGCTGGGCTGAGACTTTGCAGTGGAATCCCAACAAGAAGAATGTTCCAGGAGGGGGCCTGGGTCTACAGAGAAAAGCAGCAAATCTTTTTCTGCAGAAGCATGTGCATCATCAGCAGGGTGGGTTGGAGTCTCAAAGACTGCAGGGGTCCCTGCTGAAGCCTCTACCCCTCCTATGACCCCCACATGAGATTCCCTGAAGGGTACCTATCCTTCTGGGGCCTTCTGTTGGTTCGTCAGCCTTCCATTTGCCAGCCTCTCTGAGGTTCCTGTCTGAACTAGTTCCCTTGGGACTCCAGTCCCTCTGGAAAGTTCATAATTCCCAATTCCCTGAACGAGGCTTGCTGTCGAGTGTCATTGCAGGAGCTGTCTCTACTGCCAGGCCAACTCCCAAGCATCCTCCCTGCTCAGCTCTGAGGCGCCCCTTCCACAGCTGCCATCTATGTTGAATGTCTCACATGACATTGTCAATGATGCTTCCTTAACAATCAAACTTCATATTAACACACCCTTAAAGACTGGGATTTTAAAAGTTTATTTTATGTTCCAAGTTTGGTACTTGCAAAGGATTAAAGTTATATTGCAATCTTAGGTCACTTAACAATGGGGATATGTTCAGAGAAATGAGTTGTTAGGCAATTTCATGGCGCACACAGCACAGAGTACACCTACAAAAAGACAGCGACGGTGTCACTAGGCAACATAATCTTATGGAACCACTACCATATCCACAGCCCATGGTTAACCGAAACATTATCATGCAGAACATGATTGTAATTCAGTAAATAAAGGGATCTGGGTTTAAATCCCAGCTCTGGCAAATATTAACTGTGTGGTTCTGGACAAGCCGTTAAGCTCACTGAGCTTCCGATGGCTCCTTCCTAAGGCGGGGATAATAAATGTAAAGAGGACTGGAGACACTGTGGAGAGTGCCTTGCATGTCAGCATGCTCTGGGCTGCGGCAGCGGCTCCTTCTCCCCTCGCAAGCACAGAGAGGAAAAGGGACTGGTCCAAGGTCACACTAATAACCTGGGTCTGTGTTCTCTTCACTGGGTCCTCATCATCTGTCCTTATCATAAAAACTCAGTTGTAAAAATGTGGACAGTGAATTAGCCATGATTTAATTATTTTTTACAGTTGTTAATAGTGTGTACAAAGAAAACAAGAGATTTCCCTATGGAAGAACTTTCTCTACCCTTGCTCTAACCTATCAGAAGATTGACATCCTGGGAAGCTCACTTGCATTTTAAACAAGTCTCCACATTCACCCTGAAAATCTATAGCATATCCAAATGCACCTTGGTCTGTGGTCTATAAAAGGACATTTGTGTTAATGGAAAATAATATGAGAAGTAATAAAATAACCGTTACTGTGACCAGCAGCTCTATCCATCCCTTTTCCACCTTATTTAACCATGTCTGCCTTGACAGTATCTCTTAAGTATCAGAGTCAGCTGATGGGCGTGTGCCCTCCCCAGGGCCTGCCCAAGCTCTGCCAGCAGGTGTCAATGAGCAACAAAGTCATCACAACAAACAGAAAGTACCAGAATTACCTCAAAATAGAACCCAGACTCCAAAGTTCAGGTTGGTATGTCAAAGCCTCCATGACTTATTACAGGGCTGGCCTGGGAGAGCCATGGGGCAGGATCACCACCGTCTATTTATTGCAGCACAGCACAAGTGGCTGGCTCCAGGCCAGCTCAGTAAAGAGTGTGGAACAAACCCATCAATAAGTGAAAAAGGCACTCATGACTGACTAAGGAAATGGAGGGTTCAAAAGCACACGTACAGCACAACTTGACGGCCTCCCACCTCCCTCCCACCCTTGGCAGGCGCAGACCCCTGCCCTTTCCTTACCCTAGCAATCAGTTCCCCCACCATTCCGGTCCAGGTGCCGTTGGCCTCGGGAACGCCATACACGCCGTCACCCACCAGGCGGATCTTGTAGTTGAAGCGCAGGATCTCCGCCAGCTCCTTGAGCATGTCCACGCAGAAGCCCTCGTAGCGGTCATTGCCTTCCATCTCCTGGTGGTTCCCCTTCAGCATTAAATATGGGTTTTCCTGCAGCAAAACTGGGCAGCTGTCATTCTCATCTTAGCCTGGCATCCCAGCCATATGTGATGGGACAGCAGGAGGCGGGAGGGCAAAGAAGGTTGGCAAAGAGGTGGGTAGAAGGAGGGAAGTGGCTTGGGTAATGGCTGACCCCAGGAATGGCTCCCCTATCCTGACCCACTCCCCAAAGTGCTCTTTCAATCTGCTTCTCTTACCAGGAACACACACTGGCTCCCACTGCACAGAAGGTCAAGTTGAAGTTCCACATGGTAAAAGGTCATTATCTGGCTCTACTCTCCTCCATTCTCTCACTCTCTCTCTCTCTCTCTCTCTCTCTCTCTCTCACACACACACACACACACACACACACACACACACACTCTGAAGAGCAATAAGAGGTGCAGGATGCTTATTGCACAGCCTCCCAGGTAAGAGCAGGCACATAAACAACTGCAATCCCAGGCAGAGCGCACTGAGAATTGGGGTGGGCCTCTCTAATGAAATGTGCAGAGAAGGTTTCACAGAGGAGATGTCTCCAGAGAATGGAAGAATCTCGGCAGATGGGAATGAGAAGCATTATGGACAGAAGAGAGGCACCATCGGGACGCAATTGCAGGTGAGAAGGAGTGTGGTCCACTCAGATGGATCCTCCAGTTTAACTGCAGCATGGGTTATGGAAGGGCATGTGGGAGGAAAAATTTGGATGACTTAGAGTCAGCATGGGCCTTGAGGCCAGGATGAGGGGACTGTACATCACATTAGGCCTGGTGGGGAAGCATCTTGGGTTTTAAACACAAAGCTGGAAGTAAAGAACACCAAGCCATACACGAGGGGGCAACTAATCCTAGAACCCTAGGCCCTCTTCTGATGGGGGACATTGAGTCCTGAGCTGCTCATGGCTTGGGCTGGACGGGAGAGAGCTGGAAGGGTGTAAGAGACAGAGGGAAGACAGGATTGATGACTGGCTGGGTGCCATAGGTGGCTTGGAAGGGAAAGGGACTAGGAACATGTTGAATTTGAGGCAGTAGCAGGCTATCCAGGAGGAAATGATTGATGGGGTATGTAACATATGGGATGAAGATAAGACAGTGATAAGGACCTGAAGGCCTCTGAGCAGAAGTAAAGGCTGGAGCAGTAAAATGCGTGACACCATTGTGGGGGAGAACTGAGACAGGACAGAGAGGAGCCGGGATCTCATCCCTGGGAAGAACCTGATCTTTGAGAGTGGAAAAGCAAAGAGCAGCCATAGAACCAACTCAACAGCAACCAGAGGCTGGAAACCAGGGAACAGGGGGAAAGTCTGAGGAAGGAGAATGCAGAGAAGAAACAGGACTGAGAGGGGTGGCTGGATCACAAGTCTGCTGGGAGGCCGAAGCAGAGCAGGCACCGGGACACTGCAAGGATCAGGAGTGAAGGAACAGGCATTTTTGAGAAAGTGGGAGATGGAGGGAGCTGGGCCTCCCCTCCAAGCTGCTATGGTTCTCCTCTGCAAATAGCAGGGTGGGGGGTCCCCAAGGGTGCCCCTAAATCTGACTCCACAATTCCTCAATTGGAGGGTGACTGAAGATTAGCAGTGTCTAGGTGATGGGGTGGTTTTAGGGTGGAAGAGACCTGTGCAGGCAGGCAGACGGAAATGCTGCAAAAGGAGAGCTTAGAGAAGGAAGGAAGATGAGTGGTGGGAGGAGCAGGGACCCAGGAACCAGGAGATGGAGACAAGGCCCTGGGGAGTGTGAGGCTAGGAAGAGGCCTGGGGCACGGTGCAGGGTGTGGGTGTGGACGTGAGGAGAGGCGAGCCCGCGCCCACCCCAGAGCTGTGCTGAAGGTGGAAGCAGGTGGGATGGATGGCTTGGTGTGTGGGAAGGTTCCACAGAATGCTCGATGGGGATATGATAAGGAGAGAGAAGCAGGAGAGCACGGGAGCCCCGGGGCCCAGCTGAGGAGAGGAGGCTGAATGCAGACTGAGCAGGGAGCAGGGGTCACAAAGGCCATCAGGCTTGGGGACCGGTATTCTGGCCAGATGGCTGAACACTATGGTAGAGATGTTTCTAGAAGGTAAGAGGGGGAAGTGCTGAAATTCTGACATGGAATTCCTGGGGTGGACTTCTACCCTGGGGGCAGCTGGAGAGCCAGAGAGACCAGAGGTTATGGGGGAGGGCAGTTTAGTTCTGGGCATGAGCTCAGAGTTGAAAGTGACATGATTTTGACCTATGACCAAGTCCACTGTCATGGCAGTGTGACGGGCCACCTCCCTGTCTTCCACACTTGCCAATCCTAGCTCAAGGGCTTCTCATGCCGCAACTCCTCTCCCTCCCCATCTTCCACCTAACCTAGCTCCTCCTTGTCCCTGTCCTGTCTCCTCCACCAACCCCTGTGCTCACACCAGGGCTCCCATGAGTCCCCCAAAGTCCTCCTCTCTGCACCCAACAGTGAGGCTGTGAGGAGCCCAAATGCAGAGCAAGTCAGCCTGGAACTGACCCTTCCCCTTCTCTCGTCCCCTGGTTCCAGTGTCAAGAGCTTGGTGATTATGAGACAGAGAGAGAGAAGGGCCAAAATGGTCTGACAGACACAGCTTGGCGGAGGGCTTCCACCCTAGGACCAGGGTATCTTTAATTATCCTGAGAAGCGTCATAGAATCTCCTCCCCAAATACTCTCTACTCTCAAGTCAATTTAAATTTCACCGACATAAGCAAAACAAGTATACAGAACTGGATTCTGGAGGGAGGAGATGTGTTGAATGGTCAAAATATCAGAAAGGCTGGGGCTCCCTGAAGTGTGGAAAATGTGGGGGGCTATACACTGGTCTATCCAGAAAGGGGGTTGGGGAGACCCCAAGGCAACAATGCAGCGAAATGTTTGACACAGGGCCTGACACAGAGAATGTCTTCAGGGAACAGGAGCCGCAGCTAATTCTGTGTGTTTGCTGGTATTAACCAATAAATCATTCACACGTCCCAAGCGCACCCTGACAGGAGCGAGAGACAACATGGATATGTGCGGAGTTTTAAGGGATAAATCATTCAGGATTACCTTTTGCTAGGGAAAACCCACAAACGGTCACCTAGGGACTGAATTAGGATCATCATCATTCCTGGTAGGAGTTACTGATTTGGATCAGCAGCCTCAGACACACATGCACCAAAAAAAAAAAAAAAAAAAAGAGCCAGTGCTAATTTTGGCTTGAGTGTTCCTTACCATGTCATTAAATGCCACCTCATGTGAAAGTGTCCCACCAGCACCTTCACTCCTTGTGAACTTACGTGTGGGCAGTGAGCATGCATGTGCACACGGGTACACACACACACACACACACATACACACACACACGCAGATCAGAGTGACTTTCTCAGCCTGGAAACTAGACCCTGGAGTCTCAGCACAGCCCAGATCTCCAAGTGCAGTCAAATTCCCAAACTTGAGAGGCAGGAAGCACGTCCCGAAAGTTCCCCCTCTCCCTCCCTCCCAAACTCTTCTTGATTCTTAAAGAATTCCTTAAAATTACTCCCTGAAATTCTGCAGGAAGAAATCCTTCACTCCAGTTCTGATTATTGAGCTCTGATGTGGGCCAGGCAACCGGATCTTTAAGGAGCTCTCATTCTAGAAGGGGAGGTAAACATTCAAATGACATCCCCTAAGAGAGGATGTGCCACTCAGAGGGAGGAGTGTACACAAAACTAGAGAAGGAGAGGGCAGGAGTCAGACAGGGGAAGAAAGACTCCATGGAACAGGCAACATCTGAGCAGAACTGTGAGGGTGTGCGGGCCTCTCCAGATGGAGACAGGAATGCAGGGAAGGGCATTCCAGGCAGAGGGAACAGCATGTGCAAAGGAAGGGAGAGGCAAGATACAGTGAGGAAATGGAGGGTAATCCCTCACCACTAGACCCCAAGGAGCATGGAGAGGAAGCAAGTAAGGAGGGCTAGTCCTGAATACGAAGGGTATACATCTTAAGTTGGGGGGCAAAGTAAGCAAATTACAGGACAATTCTGATTTGGGTTGGGGGAATTGACAAGCAAGTGAGGATGGAGCCATTGAGGAGGCCAGGCATTTTTGGTAAGGGATAGTCAACCTGTATTAGTTTGTTTTTTGTTTTTTGTTTTGTTTGTTTTATAATCAGGGATTGAATCCAGGGGTGCTTAACCACTGAGCCACGTCCCCTGTCCTTTTTTATTTTTTATTTTGAGACAGGGTCTTGCTAAGTTGCATAGGGCTTTGCTAAGTTGCTAAGGCTGGCTTTTGAACTTTTGAACTTGCAATCCTCCTGCCTCAACCTCCCGAGCCACTGGGATGATAGTTATGTGCCACTGTGCCCAGCCTGTAATGGCTTTTTATTATCTGTCTCACATTCCCCACCGAAATGGAAGTTCATTATCGACAGCGGGTTTTGTGTTTCATTCATTGCTGTACTCTGAGTACCGGGAATAGTACCAAGCAAATCATAGTGCCCAACAAATACTCACAGGATGAATGAATGAAACTATTCAGCAACCCATCTCCTGCCAGATGAAATAAAAACTGAGGGCCTGACATTCAAGTTCCTCAGCACTATGGACTCAACCCACATTTCTGGCTGATGCTCCTGCCTTTCCCTACTGAAGCCCACATTCGGGAGAAAGCTGGTATTTTTCTATATATTTTCTAAACACCTAACAATGCTCTCCCTCTTCACTTTCCCCTTCCTAAGTGCTCCCTTTCAGTCTCCATCTGTAATTAAAGGTTCCTTCTCAGGCAGTGCTGCAGGTCGGGCCCTCTCCCCCACACTCCACAGTTCTGGATTGCACCTCTTTCCGGCTTCTATGCCATTCCATTCACAGTAGATCAATAATTCCAGCCAAGCATTCCCTGGACCCCAGAGTTTGTGAAGTCACCATGGGGGTCCCTGAGCTCTCTTTATTATCTTAAAAAGCCTAAAAGAAACAAACCCGTTGCAGACCTTGCACATTTAAGAGGGATGAGACAAGAGGAGTAGGCTTTCCCATACATTGTCCCTGCTTTGGGCTGCATTATCAGTGTGACTACACTGGTTATCTCCTGCTGATAAGATGCTGTGCCAAGCAGGGGAAATACACTTTTGATTAGTTAATAGGGGGAAGGGAGGGGGAACAGAGTAATTATTGCTTAATACATGCAGCTGGTTTAATTGAAAAATCTTTTAAAACATGAGGTCTTCTGTGGGGGAAGACAAATAATACCTTCGCCGTGTATGCACTTGACTTATCCCATCTGCTAAATTATAACCTCTGAGGAAGGAGATGGAGTCTTACCTATCTTTGGTCTCAATGACTGAGCACAGTGCCTGGTACATGGCAGGAGACTAGAGTCAGGGGTTGGAATTGGTAATTACTGAATAGAACTGAATCAAATAGAAAAGCAGATGGTCCCTTGCCCGATAAGAACCCTCTTTTTACCGTCTGGAAATGAAAAAAAGAGGCCTGATAAACCCACAGACGTTCAGGTGTCCATTTGGGGGGTGCAGTATGGGAAAGCCTCATTTTGTATACTCTAGGTGCCAAGCAAGGTGGGCTTCTGGGAAAAAGCAGCAGCCACCCCAGTGGACTGGATCCAGCTTCCCCCAGGGTATCCTCTCCATGTGGCCCTGCATAGCTGCCCCAGCCTTTAGGGTGCCCCTGAAAGAGGCACCCACAAACTGTGGAGTCTCTCCACCCTATCCCTCTTCCCCAGCTGCTTGGGAACTCATCAAATATCATTTCCATATGAAACAGCAACTTGAGTGTAATTACACTGTCATAAATTGGCCTCGGTGCTGTGATTAGCGCTCCCATCTTCTGTTCCCCGGGAAGCCTGGGAGCTCTCTGCACTGGCTCAGGAGAGGTACCCCGGGGAGCTGCAGCTGGGTGGCTCGGGAGATCCCGCTTACCAGGATGGTGGTGACAACCAGGGTGGTGTTGAAGAGACTGTCCGAGCTGTTGGAGGCGTAGAGGCGGCTGTCCATGCTGAGGCCCTCCGCCACGTGCCACTGGCCAATCTGAGGAGACCAATGAGAGAGAACTGGGAAGACATGCAGGAAGGAGAGGCCTGGCAGGCTGGGGCCCCAGGCTTGGAGGAGCCAAGAGGACAGTCCCTGGTGTCTTCTTGGGCTGTGTATAAGCCATGAGGGGGGGGGGGTTATGGAGCATGGAGCAGGGGGCTGGATCAGGACAGGGTTGAGGGAAGGGGGCACTGACAGGGTAAGCAAAGAAAGGACGGTGAAGGCTTGGGAGAGCCTGAGGGGGTAAAGGGAAAAACAAATTAGGAATGAAACACAGTTCAGGAAATTCTGTGTCCAGGAGGGAATGGCAAAATATTTTCAGGCAAGAATAATCACAGGTACTCTTGTGCTTTGGCCTGAATTCAATAATTGTGTTTATCAAAATAAGAATTAAAATGGCATACTGGAGGAAACAGGCAGATACAAGGTCTTTAATAAATGCGTGCTGAATGGTTAAATATATAGATGAGTAAATAAACTGGAAGAGGGCAGACCCTGTTTGATCCACTTGTTTACTGTCAAAATTTAGACACAAAAGTTCTCCAGAGCCTTGGCATCTACAAATGGGCATGGGAACATTTCCCTACCTTCTTAAAGATCATATATGTGCCATCTGGACATTGCAGTGTTCACACAGACCCAGAAGCACAGATCTCCCTGTGTAACCCCAGAAGAGTTTCTGAACCTCACTAACCCTGTTTCCTCATCTGTAAAATGGGAATAATAGAAACTTCTTTGGGTGGTTGTGAGAATGAATTTAATCTGGCATTTGAATGTACCATCTGAATCTGAAATATCCCCCAAAAGCTCATGTGCTAAAGGTTTGGTCCCCAGTACAGCAGTGTTCAATCACCCTGTAGGTGATTGGATCCTGAGGGCTCTGGCCTCATCAATGCATTAATTCACTGGTGGATTCATAACTTAATGGAATATTAGGAGATAGGTCCTGGTTGGAAGCAGTGGGTCATTAGGCATGTGTCCTTGAAGGGTACATCTGTCTCCCACCTCTTTCTCTCACTCTCTCTCCCTGCCCTTCCTGGCTACCATCAGGTACAAAGCTCTACTCTGCCATGAGCTCCTCACAGGCCAGGAAACAATGGAGCCCAGTGACCATGAACAGAAACCTCTGAAATCATGAGCCAAGATAAGGCTTTCCTTCTTTAAGTTGATTTTCCCAAGTATTTTGTCACAGAAACCTAATAATTATTTTTCTTCCACTTCCCTATTGCATTCTTCCTTGTATTAGCCTTAGTTTTATTTTATTGTGTTAGAAACAATTATCATGAGCTCTAACTTCTTAATAAATTTTTAGGTGCTCAATATATTATTGTTGACTTTCCCATTGTCTTAAAGACCCCTAGGGGAAAAAAATCCGTAATTTACTTAGTTCCCCATTTTAGAATGTTACCTAAACCTAAACTCAATAGCAGTGGATTGTTAGATTGTTTTTCTCAGTAGAACCCTTTCAATAATATACCTAAGTAGACATTGTATAAATATATATGCTATGTGTAAATAATACAGAAGTCCATGATATGTCAAATGTATAAATAATATGTAAATATATAATATACATAGATAAAATCCCAATATAGTCCTACAAGCTGGAGCCGCTGACAAATATCTGCTGCTGAGATCGGAGGTGGGCAGCCAAGAGAGAGAGCTGACAGCTGGCCACCAACCCATGGAGACGCACACAGCCGCCTCCACCAGGCATCTCCGAGCACCAGCGGCAGCTTCCCTGGGAAACTCTCTTTGAGTTCCATGGGTGCCGGTGGCTCTATTCCCCAGAGTAGGGCTCTGGGGTCTCTTCTGGAAGCTCCAACAACAATAGAGACTTGGCTCTGCCTTGGCCTTCACCCCGGACCCGTGGGGCAGGCGGACTCAGGGGCACACTGAGCAGAACCAGTTTCCTGACTTCACAGTATGGAGGGCAGGGTCCACTGGGGACTGTGGACCATCCACTGGGAGCCTTTCCAGTTCCAGGAAAGAAACTGAGGGTTTCCCAGGATGGCCCTTTCAGGCGGCAAAGAGGAGATCACCAAAAATGCCCCTCGGACGGGACGCCACCTGGAAAAGGGGTGGGGGTAGTTTTTTCCACCTCTCTAAGGCAGGATGGTTCTCTATATGCTCATGTTTGGTTTTAGTTTGCAAGCAGTGTCTCATGCATATCCAGATAGTAAGCCCCGTTTTACAAATAAAGAGCCCCAAATCAGAAAATCCATCCAACTAGTGTGAGGTGTCACAGCCAACTAGTGTGAGGTGTCACAGCCAACTAGTGTGAGGTGACACAGCCCTGTGTTCTTCAAACCAGATGATTTTTTCCAAAGAAGTCAGCACAGCCGTCTTGTCTGAGTCTTTCAGTGTTCTGAACATTTTCAGTTCCCTGTGGTCTCCCACACAGTCTTTGTGGCTTAGGACAAAAGACTTATTTATGCACAGACCCCAGCACCTTGCTCCAGGACTGGTTTTGGAAGCAGGGGAAAGTCCTCATCTCCTGTTGGCAGGTTGCTCTTGTTAACCAGGCATGGGCAGGAGGCAGGCAAACCCTCCTCTGGCCTCTGGAGCTCCTGTGGTCTCTCAAACAGACCAGACAGTCCATACTATTGCCTGATCCTCTCCTTCCTCTTCCTCTCTTCACAAGAAAGGTACAGGGGGGCTGAGGAATGCACTGGATTTCCAAATGAAGGGAAAAGGGTAACAGTTTGTAGACAACTGTTGTGTTAGAAAGTTCTATCGCCTCTTTGGATTCTCCTAATACCCTTTGGAATGCTTATGGTGTTTCCATGTTATTTATGAAGAAACTGAGACTCAGAGAGGTTTAGTAGCTTGCCTAAGGTCACCCATCTGGGTAGGCATAGCATAGGCTTGAATTCTGATCTGATTCCTAAGAATGGGTTCTTCCCTGTTTCTGCTCTTGTCTCTTAGGGTGGGAACACTAATATGTCCTTCATTTGAGCAGACCCGGCTGACCAGGAGGTGGCTTTGAGGGGTGTCAACCATCTAATTCAAACTCCAGGCATACAGCTTTCTTCTTGGTCTTGGCACTCCACAAAGCCAGGTAGAATTATTCTCCTCTCTGAGGCTCAGTTTCCCTGCCTTCAAAATGGATACAACTGGACTCTGATGGTGTGTTAAGCTTGGAAGGGCTATATTTGGACAGAAGAAACAAAAAAGATTTGGGCTGGATGTCAGCATTTGGATGTGTGGGACAGGATTAAACTTTCTAGAGTCCCATTTGTCACCCTAAACCTACACTTCACACCAATAGCAGCAGACCTCAGCCCCCACCCCTACCTCCCTTCCCACCTCCACTGTTCCCAAGGGAGGCAATTCTAACTCAGCCCTGCGGTAGGGGCCCAGCCCCAGCCTCTGTGGTCTTACTCAGTGAGCTAGTTTCCTGTAAAAGCCAAGCATAGAGATGATTTATCCAGAGCCAAGTCCAACAGCCTGAGCAATGCACCCTCCCACCCCTCACCTCTGGGAACCTGGCAAAGAGACTAATTAGCCCCCAAGATCCAGTCAGGAAATGAATCTCCCACCCACTCTTCTATTAGCCCCTAAGAAATTAATAAACTCATCAGATCCAACAAAGTGGTTTGGCAGCTATTACCCAGTGCAATCTAATTGCAAAAAGACAGTGGGAAGGAAGGGGAGAGGCAGAGCCAGGCGCCCTGGGATACAGGCTAATTGCCCCACCCACTGGGCACCTTTGATGCCACACACGTGCCAGGGGTGGGCAGGAGATACAGCTCTCTCATCACAGACAATCTGTGCCTCTGTCTGCAGCCAAATCCCTTCACTCCACCCCACTGACACCTGCCCCCAAACCCTCCTGTGGGAACAGCTGTTTTGTGGACCCTGTCTCCATGCCCAAGTGTGGGCTTGAGTTCACTTCGGATGACATCTCTGCTGGGCCCTCTCTGTATTTTCTCTCTCCCACTCATTCTGCCTTTCTACCAGTTTAGAGGCCCTAGAATTGATAGTGAGGGAGGAGAATATGCATTGCACAGGGCCACCACCAGCCTTAATGGTATCTTAATGCAGGAAAAAAAAAAAAAAAAAAAAAAAACAGCCCTCTAGGCTGAGGTGGCCCTGCCAGTGCCCAGCTGGGCATGTGGAGCTCAGGCTGCATTTCAGTCTTATCCACCCTTGAGCACTGTACAACTCACCACCCAGGTGAGGACCCAGAGTTGGAGGACCTGGTCTAGCTTGGCTTCCCAGTTTATAAGCCACACGATCTCACCTGAGTTACTGAATCCCTCTGAACTTTGTCCTCCCCCCCTCTATATAGTGGGGATTAAAATAGTAATTACTGCCTTAAGAAGTTCTTAAGAAGATTAAAGGAGATAGCATATGTGCAAAGTACTAGGTCAGTACTCATTATCGTGCCACTGCCTGAGACAGAAGATGCAGTCTCTTCTGTGCCCTCCAAAGGGCTTGCACTGGGGGCTTATTAGATTAGGTCAGTGTCTCCAAGTTTGATGTCCAAACCAGCTGTATCAGCATTCAAGATGCAGATTCTTCAGCCCATCTTGAATGGACTAAATCAGACACTGCCTGGGGAGCGTCCAGCAATCTGGGTTGTAGCAAGGGTCCAGGTGGCTCGGATGCTAGCTGGATCAGAGCAGAGGACAAACTCAGAGAAGAAACAGGATGATGGGGAATGACTAGACTGTAGAGATTAGTAGTGACTTGAGTACCCACCCAGGGTGGCCTAGAGAATGCTTAAAAACACTCTCTCCTGAAGAAGCAGCCTTGGTTAATGGCATTTGCCAATTTCTATGGTGCAAACACTCCCCTGGTTGCTGACATGATGTTAGAGAACACAAAGTTGGGAAGATTTGTACAGTGGGCTCTTGCAGCTGGGGCAAGCTGACTCCAGTGTATGCTGGGGCCCGAAATGCACAAAAAAACCTCTGGGCTGGGCATTAGAAGTTTATGGATACCAATCTCAGTGCTGCCCCACCTGGAAAGTCAAGTCCAGGTAAGTTAAT